CCCCCCCCCCCCCTCCCCACTACATCCGTCCAAAAAGGTAAAGTTTTACCCCATGTTACAGGGTATATGCACTGTAGGACCAAAAGACACGCTCACATATCCCCAGCGAGTAGATTCTTTCTGACAAAATATAGCGTACGTGTTCGTTGAATAAAGATGATGATGATGATGATGAAGATAATTGAAAATCCTGTTACGATATGTAACAGTAGTATAGCTAAGTGCATGACCACTATAAATAAGATTTACATTTTTTTTTTACATATGTATCGTCGCTGCAACATTACCTGGCTCCCTTCGTATTGCTGTTACATTTCGATCCAAAGAGAAGTTGCCCAGATTATCCATCGAGGACACTACTTGGAGGACAACACTCATATTGGGGCTTGCCGTTTCTAACTGAATTTCTGCTTGAACACTCCCATTCCTGAGAAATTTAAACATGGCACTGTCTTAGGCGGTCATGGTTTTGGCTAGTTACTCAGGCAATTTGTCTCTTACACATGAAAAATTGCGTGACGGTCACGCCAAAAGAACGTCTGATGAGCACTGGACTGGTGCTCTAACGACTTTTACAAAGTAAGACGTAATTTACTCAGGTTTTGCATTCGCAGAGCTTTGTGAAAACAACTAATTGGTTAAACTGAGTCGTTTTTCGAAGCTGCTCTTGGTCAAGACCTTTTACTGTTTACTCAAATCTACCGTGAGTTGCTCACTTTTCCTTCACATGCTATCTGTAAAATGTTTTTCTGTACGCTAGCCTCCCGTCACATGTTTTCTCGCGCTTGCCGTCCGTTACACATTTCCCGCGCTTGTCACACGTTACATGTTTTCCCAGCTTACGTCACATTTTTGCTTTAAATTCTGATTGGTTTATGTCACTAGATGCCGCTGCAGTGATTGGCTCTCTTCAACAAACGCAATTTCTGGATATTGACACAACATATTTTGACTATTTAATTTGTTTGAATACTCATATAAAGCAACTATTCTATGGAGTTTTAACCACTGATTACCTGAAAGAAAGCACCGCAGCGTTCTTATACCATGGCAACTTCCCATACAAGATTGAAATCTGTGAAAAAAAAAAAAGCAACATTACGTCGTCATCTTGCTTCAAATGTCCATAGACATTGCAGGTCTCTTTTTTCTCCGCCATTCTTAAAACGCTTACAACATGGTCTGTGATAACGTTAATATAGTTAAATAGGTAAAAATAGGTGAATAGGTTGGAAATAGGTAATTAAATTTACGTTTAAATCCAAACTGAAAGATGAAAAATTAACCGTAGTGGTTTCCCATTCGATATAACCCAAGAATTTGTGAAGATCTTTGTACCTTTCTTTAAACGTCTTCTTTTTCCAGCAGACGTTATGGCTTATCCGAAATTTCTTTACCACAAATATATTATCATCTTAACATTTCTACACCTTAGTTTCTTATACTATTTCTTAAACTCAATACAATACAAGAAAAAAAAAACGATAACTAACCTCTCTTGTTATATCTGTTTGTAAAGCTTTGAATTTACTTGTAGATTTATCTTTGAGCTTATCGCTAAAGTTTTCACTCACGATTCTCAGCAACAAAATGTAATAAGAATCCTCTGATGAAAGGAACGAGAAAACATTACAAGGAGGTTATTTTTTATTGCAAAATCCACACGATAAGGATATAACAGGTCTCCTTCTAACTTAATGTTGGTCTGTGTTATACTTTTATCATGTCATATCTCTACACTCCCTATAAGGGAGCGCTCATAAGTCTCAAAACATCTTAGCAGTTTAAAGCTCAGAGATTTGCGCGTCAAGGAATTTCTAATGTTTTCAATGCGTAACTAAGACAGTAGTGATTATTTAGTCAAGTAATATAAACCGTAGCTGCTGAGTATTTTCCCTCTCACAGAAAGAAAGTCAGAGAAAGAGACAAAAATAACGTGACTGTATCAGAGATGACGATAGCTGGAGAAAGACGAATGTGACGAAGCTACACCATACGAATGCGTGCAATGGTTGCACAAGATGCAAGAAATAATTTCACTTCTGCAGCATTTTACACGTAACAGTAGCGGGTGTACAGACTTTACGATAGGCCATTTTACAGTTGTGTGCTTAGTTACTTGGCCTATGAATGTAAGTGAGGCTGGAGGTGACCTTGTTTTAACACAGACCTCTCTGCTTCTCTCATTAAGTGCCAACTGTTTAGCATAAGAACAACTTGATTTACACAACAAAAGCAGTGAGGTCTTTATCAAAATAAGCTCGCCTCCAGCCTCGCTACCATTCAGAGGCTAGGCCACTGAGCAAGCAACTGTAAAATGGTCTCTTCAGGCATTTTTGCAAGCAATATTGCACAACATGTCTGAACATTTGACAAATCAACACAATTTATCACCGATTTGCTCCCAACTTACTCGAATCCAGAGTAGTCACCAATAAGGTCTGACTGGTGGGTCCCAGTCCTGCATTGTTATAACCTTGCACTGCCACGTTGTACTGGGTCCAAGGCTTCAGTCCCGCCACGACGCCTCGGGATACACCGCTCACGGCGACCTGGACGCGAATGGCGTCATTTGGTATAACAAGACGTGGAATCTCCTCGAATTGAAATATTCGTTGTATCGCAGGACCACTCCAGGCGTAGATCTGAAAATAAACTACTTTTTTAAGTGTCTCAAAAGAGTGTCTTTGGGGAGCATATCCCACCAGTGTAACCCACAGGTTCAATTTCGGCCCACTGCCATATGTGAGTTGAGTTTGTTATTGGTTCTCGCCTTGATGCGAGAGTATTTTCTCCAGGTAGTCCGATTTTCCTCCCTCCACAAAAACCAACATCTCCGAATTCAAATTCGATCAGGATTGAGGACTTCCTCTCTCTATGTAATTATTTACTTATTCATTCACTCACTCACTCACTCACCCACTCACTCTCTCAATAGAGGAGCATTAATCCCAGTAGAAGAGCGAAAATGTTTAGTATGCAAAGAAAATTGCATAGAACATGAACAGCATTTCTTGATGTATTGTCGGGGGTATACCACATTAAGACGTGAGCTGAACTCACATATTTCAAACGCTGATACCCATTACCCCAGTTTAAGCGATAACAAGAAGACGAAGTATTTACTTAGAACAGAAAACACGGTTACATCTAACATAATAGGTAAATATATCCATTTAATGTTTCAAAAAGAGGTTCTCAATTCACAAAAGTAATTAGTACTATGAGTTTCCCAATTTATTGTATACAGATATGGTAAATATTATTTCGTATTGTTATTAGTTAACGTTGAAACCTTTATTGTAACTAGACTGGATAGTGAGGCGCAATAATATTACTATTACTATTACTATTACTATTACTATTACTATTACTATTACTAATACTATTACTAATACTATTACTCACTCACTCACTCACTCATTCACTCATTCACTCATTCACTCATTCACTCACTCACTCACGCACTCATTCCCTCATTCACTCACTCACTCATTCATTCATTCATTCATTCATTCATTCATTCATTCATTCATTCATTTATTCATTGACTCATTAGTTACGTATTTGCTCGATTGAGCGCCGCTACATTTTTGGTGTTTCGGTTGTGGCGTTTCGTCGGGGGTGTCGTTTACTTGATGGTACGCTCTTTACAAAAATTACAACATTTGTTAATGGTAACAAGCAAATGTGCATAACAAAATATGGGCGCTTTGAACTGAAAACATTGTAATCCTTGAGGATAAATTTCCGAAGCTGAGTTAGACTGATTTGTACAACACTAGTTTTTCTTTTTCAGTTGATTCCTGGGGCAATTCAGTCTGATAAAGCTTCGATAGAGCGCCACACTGTTGTGAACGGATGTGACCCTTATTCGCGGCCTCGCTTGAGCTGCGAAGAAAATGGCACGCGGGGAACCAGTTACAAAGAGAATTCTTGATACGATTAGAGCAATTCTCAACTGAGTGTCGGAAAATCAAAACCCAAGTAATCACTCGAATCAATCGCAATGGACACTTGCAATCCAGTGAGCCAATCAAAACTCAAAGCATAAACGTGTACACGTGGACACAAAGCGCGGGAAAACGTGCGCGTGCAGTGATGCGAGTTTCAGTTTTACGTTTGATTAGAAGGTAGCGCCAGATTCTTTTAACCAATCGCTAAACATAGTGAAGGAAGAGAAAACCACTCAATAGCTAAAAGTTACTGAAAGATTTAAAACTCGACGTTTCGGGGTCCGGCACCATGACACCACTACAAAGGTATAAAAAAAAGCGCGACTATTTAAGTAGGCTAGACTGAAAATTAACCTGGTGAAGATCAACATGCTAATTAGATGGCCAACCGAGCACTTGAGCGCAAATTGAGTCAGTTTGCACGTTCGTTTCTGGTTTGAGACTCCGAAACGTCGAGTGTCGAATCTTTCAGTACTTTTTGCATGTCTTTGCACTGGCAAATCTCTTTTGATCAAAAGCTAGAAGAAGTGATTTTATATCATACCCAATAACCATCCACGGTCCTCGGGGGCGCCACGTCAAAAGGAGTCCATTCCACCTCAAACGAACTTGAGTTCACACGCAAAATAATCAATTCAGTGGGAGGTTCCGGTGGGGGTCTCTGGCCAGACAGTGCAAAAATAGAAGGGCTTGTCGGTCCAGGCCCCTCGCTGTTCTCCGTTCGAATAGCAACCTCGTACAGAGTGTTCGGTTCCAGACGTAATACAAACTGGGATGTTGAAGCACAATCGTTAGTGGTTATGTTGAGCCAGGATGCGTTTGTAGTGCGATAAAACAATCTGTAAACGCACTTTGCGGCGTTCCAATCTAAGGAGTCAAGAGCCTGGGGAAAGGAAGTGAAAGTTCCCTTTTTTTTCATTCCCGTACAAGCATATTTGATAAAAGTACTTACATGAATTTTCAAGTATATCAAATAAACCGGAGGAATTTGCAAACGCCGGCTTTGTGGTGTGGACGAAAAACCTTTTAGAAAACGGAACTTTTCGAAAACGATGACGTCACGATAATCATTTGTGATTTCATTGGTCGAGTATTCCTCAAACACAAATCCAAAATGACCGGTGATTGTTGTATTTTCAAATTTCTCCGGCGTAGTGTGCACGGAAAACATTTGATCCGTTTTCAGAGTGAAAACAGCGTTTTCAAATTTCTCCGGCGTAGTGCGGACGGAACCTGAGTTTCAGAGCAATTTGTTCTCTGACAGACTTCTTGAAATATTTCGCTTCAAACTCAAAGAAACGTCCAAAAACTTCAAGGTGATAAAAACAGGAAGTGACGTTCAGTCCCGCTGTGTGGCACATGGTGGGACAACCTCGTTCCCAGGCCCTCTCTCTTCCCCTGAGAACGAGGTTGATGATTGGACTAACCTTCCAAGTGACGTTTAACCATCCGTCAAAAGGAAAAGGAGAACCAGCCAGTTTCTTTGGATACAACGAAGGCCCTAAAACAAAGACAAATAACAAACATTTACAAGCTGGTCATTCATTATTTGCGTCGATTTCACCTCCTCTGATTAATTCGAAAAAACGTCTTAAAATCACGGTGAAAAAGACCGAGGCTCAATGCCAAAATTTCTGCATTTGGTCTTCTTTTGTTTGTATCACGTCTTTTGTGGAAATTACCAGACAAAGCGATCATGCAGAAATTATAGGCTCGGGGTCATAACTCGCAGGTTATCTGGGAGTCTACCGGATACAGAGCGAATCTCCCGGTCTCCCGTACGGATCAGCAAATCTCCCGGATACGAAGGAAAGCTCTTGAGTGCGCCTTTCACACTCACTTCACCCCTGAATTTTGGTGGTTTGGGGGGGGGGGGGCAAAATGTTTAGGAATTTGACATATTCTTGTAGTTGCATAGGCGAATTCTACTTTTATCACCTTTTGTAAGAGTTGAGAAGGTGAAATTGGCGATCTCCCGGATTTCGATTTGGTTACGTCATGGCCTATAAAACTTCGTAGGGGATGACTGGTTAGTTTCATCTTATCTGGGGGGTGGGGCCAGGGGGGACTTATGAACTCGGAGCGTTACTTATAACCCGTTACCCGTTAGTAGGCCACTCCGTTTTGATTCGAACTCTGCAGTCAAATTCTGCTAATAGCAGACACTGAGACACAGAGAGTAACCGTACAAAGCGCGCGAGTGCAAGTGAAAAGGGTTTCCACAACTGCACTTTCAATTTCATACATTGGCTATTCAATTGAAGTAAGAGGGGAGAGAGTTTACACTCGTAGGGAGGGGGGTCACTGGAAATTTATTTTGGTCCCAGACACGTTACCCCATAATCCGTGTAATCAGAGAAGTAAAGTGGACAAAACTTGCTCTGTTGACGACATGAAATGACCGAAGCAACGGGTCTGTGCTTGTAAACGGTATTGTACGGTGTCTTGTTTGATACTACGCTACTTACTTGCACTGTTAGTGACACATGTAGCTTGCGTGGGCAACAGCGCGGGCAGTCCAACACCAACTTGATTTTTAGCGCGGATGCGAAAATAGAACTGATTGTGAGGCTGCAGGTTTTTCACCACGTACGAGCGAGCAGAACCACTTGAAATCTCGGCCAGCTTAGAATACGAAGAGGTAGGCAATGAACTTGACACTTGCTTGTAGGCCACATCAATAATGAAACCAACTGGAGGAAGAAGATCCCGACGAAGGGTAACATTCCAAGATAGGGTTGTGGAAAAGTTCTCACAGCTGGTTGTATTCACGGCAAAGGGAGGAAGCGGTGCTCCTGGAAATCAAAAGTATAGGCAGGCAAAGCGTGTTAACAGTCTTGATTTGGGAAGGTAGAATATTCTCGATTAAATTTGGAAGCGTCGATGCTAGGCGTTCATTTGAGAAGGGCATTCACTCGGTGCCTGGAATTTATTAAACACGGGTATGTTTTCATCATTTTTACAGTGCCAAATATAGAAGATAGCACTGACATGGGCACCCGAAGGAAAACGCGGAAGAGGACGGCTAAGAGAGACGACGTGGTAAAGAACGGTGAACAAGGGGAGATAGCATCTCGGATTCAAGACATGGAGGGAGGCAGAGGTGGCGGCAAAAGACCGAATTGCTTGGAGGAGACGCATTGATGGTCCCATTCTCCACGAGGAGGGAAGGGAAAGATGATGATGACGTTTTCATCATTTTTACGGTGCCAAATACGAAAGCAAAAACGACATCAAAGCAAGAACAAAAAAGTATACTTTTTCACTACTTTCTGAAAATAAAACATCTAAAGAAATTGGTACTCTGTGGATTTTAGAGCGCGGTAGTGACATTACACAAACTTTCTTAAGTTGTCATACATTCCTTTTTTTTACAATAAATAAAAAAAAGAACTTGTCCGTTAAACTGAAACAAACTCACCAAACTATACCTAAACTAAACTAATTTGGAATGCTAAACTAAAATTATTATTGACACAAGATTCTTCACTATCAGGTCACATACAACCTTAGACCAGTAATCAGAAAGATCTATACAACGAAGCTTGTAACTAGTAGAAGGTGCGGAAGAAGTCATGCGGTTTGGTCCTGCAAACAATTGGCTGAGTAAAGAATACCTTTAATTTGATTGGTCAGAATACGATGTATAGGGACCAATCTCTGTTTGGCAAACACGCAGGTGGAATTTTGCATTACTTTCAAAAGTGACCGGAAAATCACGCTGTTGTGTGACATACACGCTGTTGTGGGACAAACACGCTGTTGCGTGACATACCTGTGACGACCAAAAGCGACACCACATAATGTTCACTGACTTTGTTCTTGACGACACACTGGAAGAGGCCAAAGTCTTCCAACTGCAGGCTGCTGAGAGTCAGTACTCCAGTTGATGGCTCAGCAGACCATCTGTTAGCAAACTTTGAACTGAAAATGTAGCTGTCAGTGAGTCTCTACTCAAAACTGAATTGTACGGTTCCCGGAAATATCCATTCCCCCCTCCATAGAAGGGACTGAAATTTCCTAGCGTGGGGGAGGGGGGTTGTAAGACCAAAAACTGTCAAGAAATGTATGAAGCCTAATTGGAATTTCCAGAGGGGTGGGGTGGGGGGTTCTTAGAAAAAAAATCCTTTCCATGGGGGACGGGTATATATATTTTGTGGAACTACAGATTAAACGTGATAGTACAAGGGTCAGTAAGTTTTCTGGAACTATAATCAAATTTGACACGACTGGAAATTGGTATTTTAATAACGGGCCTAAAACTGTAGCATTGTAAAATATAAACAAACAAATATCCTGATTTCCTATTTCAAGGATAATTCAGTTTAGGGCGATGAATACGTGAAAGGCAATGGCAACAAGACTAAAACAAAGAAGTCTGATTCTACAACACAGCCACAGACCACAAACTGAAAGCGGTCTGGTTACCTTTAACTGTCTAAAATATTAATTCCGTTACAGGCAGATTTTCAAGAACTGAGAGGAAATGACATCCCTGCAAAATTCTGTCCCAGAGTCTCTTAACCTTCGACTGCAACTGAACTATGTCCGAACAGAATATTCTCATAAAATTTGTGTTAAACGAGTTAAACAGATTATCAGCACACACGAGCAGAGGTGTCACTTGAATTCGTTTTTGACACCAGTAAATATTTACTGAATCAGCGATATCCTTAGCACCACCTTCCTAGTAGTCTCTTTCGCAGCTGTTATTAGGGTCGTCACGCAACGGTTCTCCCTACTAACGGCGTTAGTGGCGAGAAGTGGTTTGACGACCCTAGTAACGGCTGCGAAAGAGACTACCCTTCTTAGTTGTTTAAACTCCCTTTTATTCTACCTGGACTGAAGTTTCACTCCGTTGTAATACCATGTCCGACTATTTATTTCACCACCAGTTGTGTTACAGGGAAGTGTCACGCTCTCGCCATGCTTCCCAGACTTGATCTCGATGAAGTCATAATTTGCATGTTCCCTGCTGTACAGCGGTAATACTCTGTCTGTGGATTACAACACGCAATGCCAATCAGCCAATCAGTCAATCAGTCAATTTATTACCAATACAACTGCAAATTCTGCCTCCTTAACTGTGATTTGTTTTCTCCGCATGTCTCGCTCTAAGGGGAAATAAGCTCTTAATCACTGTTGGTTTCACAAGATATGTTCATACCTAAGACTTTGACAGTAAAACTGGTTTCCACTTTGAGACCTCCACTAACTGCCACACACTTATAAGATCCATCATGTGTACGTGAGCTCAGCGATCCTAGTCGCAGGGTTCGGTTGAACAATTTATGTTGAAAGCTATTCCCTAAATCAGTTATCAGTATGTTGTTCCTGTACCAAAGAATTTCTGGTGTAGGCCTAGAGAAAGAAAGATACCAATATAAAGTTCAGTAAAAGGAAAATGCAGAAGGGAGGAAACAAGGAAGGCAGGGAGGGAGGGAGGGAAAGAAGGGAGGGAGGGAGAGAGAGAGGGAAGGAGGAATGAGGGAAGGAAGAAATGAAGAAAAGAAGGGACGGAGGGAGTAAGGATGGGAGAAAGGTAGAGATGAATGGAGAGTGGGCGGGAGAGAGAGAGAGGGAGGGAGGAGGGGAGGAAGGAAGTAAGGAAGGGATGAAGGAAGAAAGTGCGAGAAGGAGGAAGAGAGGGAGGAAGAATGAAGGGAGAGAAGGAGGGAGAGAGGAAGGAAGGAGGAATGCAGGAAAGGAGGAAGGGAGGGAGGGAGGGAGAGAGAGGAGAGGGAGGTAGGAAAGAAGGAGGAAAGAAAGGAAGGAAGGAAGGAAGAAAGGAAGGAGGGGAGAAGGAAAGAAAAATAAAGGAAGGGAGGAGGAAAAATGAATGAATGAGCAAACGAACGAACGAACGAACGAGCGAGCGAACGAACGCACGAATGAATGAATAAAGAAAGGGAGGGACGGAGGGAGGAAGGAGGTGAAGAGAGAGGGAAGGAGGAATGGAGGGAGGTCGTGAGGAACGAAGTGAAGAAGGAACGAAGGGAGGAAGGAAGGGAGGGAAGGAGGGAGGAAGAAAGGAAGGAAGGAAAGATGGAAGGACGGAGAAAAGGAAGGAAGGACAGCAGGAAGCAAGGAAGAGAAGGAGTAAGGAAGTAACAGAGGGAGAGAGGGAGGAACGAATGAAAGAGGAAGGAAAGGAAGGAGGACAAGAGGGAGGAAAAGAAGAAAGGAACGGAGGAAACAATGAAAGAAGGAAAGATTGAAGTAAAAGGGTAAGGTAGGTAGGTGGAAGTGTCGTACCTTCCTCCTGCGGTACAGTTGAGGTACAACTGATCCCCAGTGGCTACTGTGTACACACCAGAGGGGCGCGTGTAGAATTTAGGTGACGATTGACTCTGTGAAGCTAAAGAAATCAAAAGCAGGTGACTCAATACTAACCCAGCCCTAAATACAAGCATCGAGTCATTATCCTAATACATCCCCGATGATCCTAGGTGAGGGGTGAGGAATGTCCACAGCTGACTGGAACATGGAAGCAGTAAAGTTCACCCATAACAAACAATTTTCTTTTACGGAACCGTTTGTGAACAGAGGAAACATTTTAAATGTATATCTAGCATAGGGAACAAGCATCAAAGGTAGAGTGGAGCATTGCTGAACCTGTTTTCAGGAAACAAAGAAAAATAAACTCCTGCTGTAAAAAAAGGCGAAGAATAACCTGTTGTCATCCTGTTATACGTATTAAATAGATGTAAATCTCCTTTACCTGGACTTGTAACGTAAAAGAACACGTCTGGCCCAAGTGCAGAACGACCGAAAAGATCTGTTGTGCTACATTTTATAGGGCTCCAGCCTGACTCCCCGGAACTGCTAACAAAAGTGGTAAAATCCCCTCCACTGACGTACGAGAAGAGTAAATCCCCATTTGGTTCCATGAGTATGCGAGGCGCATAAGCTGGGTTCACGGCAATAGATTGTTGCCTCAAAGAAACCGCTGTCCAATCATAGTCCACACGGTAACTGTTCACACGAGGAGGGCACGGAAGAAGAAATGGTTCATTCTCCGTCATGCTTATGTTGATGGGTGTAGTGGGTGAAATGAAACTTCCCGCAACTGCAAGTAAATCAAGAACAACAAAGAAAAATTACTGAGTTTTAATTGATTTCGAGTGTGGTTACCTTTCCTCAACTTTTTCTTGTTTCTTTTTTTATACATAAATGTTGATCATGGTTCACAAGCTATGTCCTATTTCAGATCAAAATAGCTTCAAAATGGATAAAAATTCATGCCCTATTTCAGATCAAAATGACTGATCAANTCAAAAACGCCGTCATCAGTATGTCTATATAATAAAAAGAACATTACACGTTAGCTCGAAGATATGAATTTTATGTTCCCGTGGCAAGAACAATATCTCACTCGTTCACTGCGCTCACTCGTGAGATATCGTTCTTGCCACTCGAACATAAAATTCATATCTACTCGCCACCGTGTAATATCCTCTATATATAAACGCGCATTTATTCGAATTTATTACCTATACTAACTTTTAAGCTGTTTAAAATTACTAACCTGAAAACTTCAGCTTCACTTTGTTACTAAGCATCGCTCCATATTCGTTCGATACAAAAAACTGATATTCTCCCTCATCGCTAAGCGACCCACTCGATATTGACAATTGTCCGGTGGGGGAAATTGTGAAGCGATTAGGCGTCAAGTCAAGGCTAGTCCCATTCAGTGTCCACTTGAAAGCTTTTGGCGGGTTGCTAACTTGAACGTCAGGGTCCATAGTCACTAGGGATGAAAGCTTCAACGCATTGAAATTAGTCATATCGTCTGGCGAGATGCCCAGGATAAATGGGAGAAGATTGTGCTTTATAATATCCGAGATGCCAAGGCTTGCTTCAAAGGTAACTGAAATAAAAACAAGCAATTTTAAAACCTTCGCTGTAGGTTCCACCTAATCCATTGTCTGGAAAAAGAAACATTAATTACAATGTTACATAACCCACCCTATATATGATCACCTCGTTAATACGACAACGGCTTTCTTGGGGTTCAACTAGAAAGCTCATTCAAATTTCGGCTGTGACTGAACAAGAAATAGATAATGATCTATAAAAAGATCGATTCTTCCATAACGTTGTCGGCCATTACTACCGAACAGATCATGACAGCATCCCCTGTTTATCCCCGGGCGCGTCGTTTTACCGCGCGGAGCCGCGAGGTCGCTGAACAACAATGCGCGAAAAGTCTGGCTGTTATCGCGAGTGCGAGCTCAAGAACACGTGTTATATTTAACAAATATCAAGTGTTACGAAACTAATTAGACCTTATCGTAAATTTTTGGTTCGCTTCATCGGTACATCAGGCGAGTTCGGTTGGGCCATGGTTCGTATAAACAAAACAGCCACGGCGACCGGCTTCAGCCAGTTAAGGCTGAGGACAGCGGTATTTTACCTACGTGATCGCTTGTTGTAAAAAGTCCATTCGGGGGTAACCATTTAATTATAGGCGAATCTTTGTTTACACATTTTGCCTCATTAACATATGCTTATCGATATATGATGACGCTAATAAAAGAAAAACTCTGAATATTGAAAGGGCACAACAGTTTCAGTTAGGGACCGTTCATTTTTTATGAGGGAGGGGGGGCTGGTGGGATTTGGGAAGCACCATTTAAAAAT